TAGACCTGGTAGCCTTGTTTCCATCGTCCTCCTCCCTGGCCAGAGTAGCCATCTTGGGGGCAGGGTTTCTTTCTTGGGGGGGTGGAGTGGAGGGAGGGCTCTTTGCATTCGGAAACACTCAGGGGGGAGAGAAGGTAGACTGAGGCAGGCCAGTGAGGCAGCAGATGTGGTGGAAGAGCTGCCAGTGACTAGGTGGTCTTCATGGCCTTTCCTCTCAGGCCTGGCATTGCTGCATGGCTGAGGGCCAGGGTGGAGGAGCATGTTCCACCTTCTGGAACAGAGGCAGCCCTAAAAGGCACACATCCCTCCCCTGGTCAGTGGGGGGGGGGGGGGTGCCAGCTAACCCTTTGGCTTTTGTCGCTCAGCCTGTTTCACACCCCACAACACTGGGACTTTGAGCTGGAGTGTATTTCCAGGTATGGCTTGGCCAGGATCCAGGCAAGAGAGTCACCTCGTGTACCCTGTGTGAGCTTTGGAATGAGCTGGAATGAAAGGCCTCTAGGGCCATTGTCACAAGTTCTCCCTGGGCAAACAGAGATCAACTCCATCAGTAGGAAAGGGAGACCGGGTCTAGCCATTTCCCCTTCTTTGCAGGTGACCCAGAGGGAGTGGACATTGACTTCAAAGGGGAGAGCTTCAGGCCTCAGGGGACAGTGGAGAGAGCAGAAACCTGGGGCTTTTGCTTGCTCTGAGGATCTAGGCTTGAATGGCCTGCTTCCCCACAGGTCATAAAGCAGCCCACACCACCTTCTGATGAACTCTGGGTCACCCAGAGCTGGGGTTTTTGTTTTGTTGCCTTTGAAACAGTCTCACTCTCGCTATGGGGTCTTGTTTGGTCTGGAACTTTCTAAGTAGACCAGGCTGACCTTGCACTCACTAGAGACCCCTGGCCTCAGCCTCCCCAGTACTAGGATTAAAGCTGTGTGCCACCATACCCGGCAACCAGGGAGCTTCAAATCAGCAGGGTGAGTAGTGCCAGGGCAGGGCCTGGGCGCCTACACAAACGAGGGAGAATCATAAAGGTCACTGCCCTGGTGAAAGATGTGCTCTCCTGAAGCCAGCTGCCACTGGCCAGCACTCCTCAGAGCTGGGCTGCAGCCTCCTCACCATACTGCCTCTCCCCCAGTTTCCTCAGGCTCCCATGGCCAAGCACAGTGTCCTGGACACCAGCAGACTGGTAGCTAAGAGGGCAAATAGCTCACTAGCCATCCCGGGAGAGGCAGGAAGAGTGTTCTGGTCTTGTCTGAGGCAGGAACTCCTTCCTAACAGGATAGTAGGCGGGAGAGGGGCCAGAAGGATATAAACAGAAAACCCAGTGTACCCAGGCTAGTGTGGGTGGCCCTGATCATGTTGGCATGGCTCTGATATCTGCAGCTCCTTCCCCGACCTCCAAATGCAGAAGGTCCTCCATTCTCCTGAGTGAGACAGGCATTAGGGAATTCAGGGTCTTGGTAGCCCTTGTCAACACATTTTCCAGTTTGACCATGCTTGGGCAGTGCCTCTTGCTGCCTCGCTGGTCTGGTTGGCCCTCAGTTCTCCTCCTTCCCAGACAACTAGGGTAAAGGGGCCCAGATGGAAGGCGAGGACTTTTCCTGCGTTATCCAGCTGCTGTGAGGGGTGGGTATCACCCACTTGGGACCAGGTGTAGGAGAAAGGTGGTCCTAACAGAATCATTCAAGACCTCAGAAATGGGGTAAGAAAAGTCAGCAGCTGTTCAGTAGGGAGGTGCTGAGGGGTCGGGCAAGTCTGGTGCTGGGTGGGAAGGCCTGCGTGAAGCTCCCAAGTATCTTCCTGTCCTTGGCTGTCAGTGCATTTGCCTGGCCGTGATCCCCATCGCCCCTGGAGCAGCTCTGCCCACTTGCCCAGCTGTTCTCCATAGCTCTAACACTGGCAAGGCGTATCATGGGGGCACAGCACAGTCAGTACCTTGGTGTGTTTGCTAGGTGAGTGGATGACATGAAGAATGGAAAGATAGTGTGGACAAAAAGAAAACAGCTACTGGGGACTTCAGCAGGGATGTAAGAGCACAGTGACCAAGGCACAGGTGTTTACACAACAGTGCACACATGAATGTGGAGGTCAGAGGTCAAAGTCAGGCATTTTCCTCTATCACTTTCCAACTTACTTTAAGAACAAAACCCGGATTTATTTATTCTATGTGCATGAGTGTTTGCCTGCATGTATGTATGTGCACCGTGTGTGCCTGAAGCCCACAGAGGTCAGAAGAGGGCACCAGATTCCCTGGAACTGGAGCTATGGATGGCCAGCCTGGGTTCTCCGCAAGAGCAGCAAGTGCTCCCAACTGCTGAGCCATCTCTCCAGACCCTCCACCTAATTTTTCAAGGCAGGGTTTCTCTCTGAATCTAGAGCTCATCTATTGGTTAGACTGATTGGTCAGCCAGCTAGGGAAGTTTCCCTGTCTCCATCCACCCTCCAGGCAGGTGCCACTACATGCTGGGTTTTTGCTTGGGCACTAGTGATCAGTCAGGTCCCCATGTCTATGCAAGCATGTTACCACTGAGCCCTCTCCCCATCCCCTCTTTTGGTGTTCTTAAGACAGTCCCACTATCTAGCCTTGGCTGTCCTTGATTTCACTAAGTAGCCCAGGTTGCCTGCAGACTCCCAGCAATCTTCCAGCCTTGGTGTCCTCAGTGTTAGGGTTACAGGTGTGTGCGGCACACCTGCCCTAGGCTATCTTCCTACTGTTACTCCCACACTGAGTCCTCAGAGACAGTAGATTATGCAGCAGATGGTGGGAGCTGAGGAGGGGAAGCCACCAGTTGGGCGGATGCTCAGCCTTGAAGACCCCAGTCTCATTCTCCGCCAGCCTCAGAGCCAAATGCACCAATGCTACCGCCTGGGCATCTCCTTTGCCTACACTCCAAAAGTCATGGTGAGGTTGGGAGGGGTCGTGGTCCATAAACCAGGGTGAGCAGAGCAAAGGGGAGTGGGCAGATAATCTGAGCTGTCTGCAAGCCTGACCCCCTTTATGCTCAGAACCTTTGTGGGGGTGTGCATTACGCCCGGTTCTTTTCCTTGTGTGGCGATCCCTTGCTCCACTCAAATAAATGCATGTCTGCCTTACTCACTACCTGACCCAGAGATTTCTAACGTAAAACGCAGCAACCAGTACACTTTGTGTATGTGTGCAAGCTGGAGATCAACCTTAGTCATCATTCCTGAGCAATCCAGTGTGGGTTTGGGGACAGGGTCTCTCACTGGGTCTGGGACTTGCAGACTAGGCTGGGCAGGCTAGCCAGTGAGATCCAGAAACCCACCCGTCTCTATCTCCCCAGCACTGGGATTACAAGCGCACACCACGCACCTGGCTCAAGCTTAGGTGACAAACACTTTACCAACTGAATCATCTGCCCCCAGTCCCCACTCTTTTTTTTAAAAAATATTGAAATAAAATTACATCATTTCCCCTTCCCTTTCCTCCCTCCAATTCCTCCTGTATCCCATCTTACTCTTTTAAATTGATGGCCTAGTTTCTTTGACCTTTTTTCTTATACACACATGTGCACACACACATGAATATAGAAATTTTATTTAGCATTGCCTGTCTGTTCAGGGCTGGCTGTTTTGTATCAGATAGTCAATCTGAGCTGATGCCTGGGAAAGAGCAATTCTGCCTCTCAGCTGTCTTTAGTTGTCTACAGTTCTCTGTTTAGGGGTGGATCCCCATGACCCCCAGTCATTTTAAAAACACAGTCGGGGATAGCTCAGGCTGACCTCAAGGTCACTCTGCTGCCAAGTCTAGCCTTGAACTCCTGCTCTGCTTCCTGAGAGAGAGCTGGGGTTACTAGTGTGTGCCACTTCAGGCGGTTAAGGAATGAATGAACAACAAGAAACCCCCCCAGGGACTTCATTTACAAGAGAAGGATCTGCAAACAGGGAGAAAGGGAAGCTGATGAACAGGAAGGCTTTGGAGAGCTGTTGAAAGACAATGGGGATTTGTCATGAGGACCCAAGTGTGAGACACATGACCCACCCAGGGAGATGCTGATAATGTCCAATGGCTAGAGCTTAAATGGGGCAGGGGCGGGGTAGTAAGGAGAAGGTAGGATGCAGGGTGGGGGTGAGAGGTGGCCACCGTCCTGCATGCATCATCATGACCACTGCAGAGATCAATGGGATCTGAGTTTCAGGAATTTCTATCAGGCAGTTGTAAGGAAGATGGCTGGCCAGGCCAGGACTGAGACAACAGGTTGGTGGCTGTGGAATACTAGACCGGCAGGGAAAAGGTCCATGGGCGCTCTGTGGGGGCAGACACTGAGATGGTTATATAGTTCTGTGATGTGGGAGGGGGCACATCCTCGTCTGAGGATGCTGTGGAATGGCCTGGGGGCACAGACAGAGGGGACCAAGTGTGTAGGAGAGTCAGTTCTGCCAAGGAGGCCAGGCCTTTCCAGAAGAGAGGAAATAGAGAGGATATGGGGGAAGTCTAACAGCCGGAGGAGGTTTAGCCATGATGGGGTTGCCAAAGGATCCATCCACAGAGAGGAAAACTTAACTGAGTTCCTGGGAGATAGGGCTGAACATAGTTCTCGCTGACAGGCCAGAGGCGGGCAGGAGGAAGAGGGCAGGAGCATACTTGCACCACAGTATGGGAGGATGGTGGCTACAGAGGCCCCGCCCTGGACATCTGTGAGCATAGAGAAGTCCCAGAAAGTGACGCAGTCGGGGGGGCCCCAGTTTCTCAGATGCTCCCTCTTTTTGGCTATTTTTCTGCTATTTTCATACCCTAAAGTTGACTTTGTCTGATGAGGGGAGGAGAGAGCAGGGAGAGAGAAGAGTCATTGGGATCTGTCCCTCAGACAGGGATTCCCTGAGCCTTACTGGGAGCCAGGGATCATTCTAGGGCCTGAGGACCCATTGTCTACCTTCTGGCAGGTATCCCTGGGGGGGGGTATCTCCTGATGTAGGGTACAGGTGAGGCCTCCTGGGGCCCAGGAGGGTGGGTGACCTCAGTGGGTCCCTGTGTGTGCCCCTTACAGGTGTTCTCTGTGGCGCCCCCACTTGAGGTGAATGGACTCCCCCGAGCTGCGCCTCTGGGCTTGCCCTACCAGGACTTCAAGAGAGACCTCTCTGATTATCGAGAACGGGCCCGGCTGCTGAACAGGGTCCGGAGGGTGGGCTTCTCGCACATGCTGCTTACCGCCCCACAAGTCCCCTCGGCTCCCTTTCAGCCTCAGGCCAATGGAAAGGAGGGAGAAGAGGAGGAGGAGGAAGAAGAGGAGGAGGAGGGAGAAGACGAAGAAGAAGAGGAAGAAGAGGAGGAAGAGGAGGAGGAAGATGAAGAAGAGGAGGAGGAGGCAGGGGCTCTGGGGGAGGTGCTGGGGCCTCGGAGTGGTTCTAGCAGTGAGGCCAGCGAGCGGAGCACTGAACGGAGCCAGGAGGGGGCCCCATCCACACTGCTGGCTGATGATCAGAAAGAGGCTAGGGGCCGGTCCGTGGCTGATGGGGACCTGGAGCCTGAGGAGGGCTCCAAAACGCTGGTGCTCGTCTCCCCTGGCGACATGAAGAAGTCGCCAGTCACTGCCGAACTGGCCCCTGACCCTGATCTGGGCACCTTGGCCGCACTCACCCCTCAGCAGGAGCAGCCCCAGCCTACTGGAAGTCAGCTGGATGTATCGGAGCCGGGCACCCTGTCCTCTATCCTCAAGTCTGAACCCAAGCCCTCAGGACCTGGAGCAGGGCTTGTGGTTGGGCCAGTGGCCACTGGTGGGGCGGTGGCAGTCACCTCCTCACCCTTCACCAAAGTCGAGAGGACCTTTGTTCACATTGCGGAGAAATCCCACCTCAATGTCATGTCTTCCGGAGGGCAGGCCTCCAGGCCAGACGAGTTCAGCACTGGGGGTGAGCTGGGCCTGGAGATGCTCTCTGAGGGGGCCACTGCAGAGGAGGGGGCCCCAGTGCCTCTGGAGAATGGCCTGGCTTTGTCAGGGCTGGATGGAACTGAGACAGAGAGTTGTGTCCTGTCTGGCTTTCCAGGAGAAACACCCTCAGAAGTAGTCACAGACTCGTTGCCCAATGGCGCAGCCCTTGCTGAGGGGCCAGCTCCGGCATCCCCACTGGAGCCAGTCACCAAGAAAGGGACCACTGTCTCCCCAAGCCGCCTTGCTATGCCAGGTTCTCGCCCCAGGAGCCGCATTCCTGTCTTGTTGTCTGAAGAGGACACAGGCTCAGAGCCTTCGGGCTCCCTGTCAGCCAAAGAGCGGTGGGGCAAGAGGGCCAGGCCCCAGCAGGACCTGGCACGGCTGGTGATGGAGAAGAGGCAGGGCCGCCTGTTGCTGAGGCTGGCCTCAGGAGCCTCGTCCTCTTCTAGCGAGGAGCAGCGCCGTGCCTCTGAGACACTCTCTGGCACCGGCTCTGAGGAGGATACACCTGCCTCAGAGCCCACGGCAGCCTTGCCTAGGAAGGCTGGGCGGGCAGTGACCACCCGGAGCCGGATTCCACGCCCCATCGGTGTGCCCACGCCTGTGGAAGGGCAGCAGCTTCCTGGCAGACCCCATGGTGCCGCCTCAGCGGCTGACGTGGCCATTACCAGCAGGTGAGAAACGGTGCCAGGACTGGTTGTGGGTAGAGTGGCCACAGAAGGCTTCCAGAAACTTCTCAGAACCAACGTTAGGGGCTATAACACCCTCAGATACCTCTCCCATCTGGGCACTGTTACTTGTGACTTAAGTGTCAGCTCTGTCACTGGGCTCAAGGGAACAGGAACAGTGTGATCAGCGGGGATACTGTGAGGTGGGACCAGGGGAGGCTGCAGGAGACCAGCGAGCCCACATACAGTTCCTGGTATGCCATGGGACATTGGAAACCAAAGGGTAAAAGTCTTGGGCCTCCAGTAACTGGCATGAAATAGTATTTTGTATTGATATTAACATAAGCACATTCTAGATTAGAATGCAAAGCCCATGGGAATTTTAAAGATGACACATGACTCTTAAGGAAAACCTCCAGTCATAGCCCAAAAGGTCCCGCACTGCAGGGTGGAACACAGGCCGGTTTATTCATCTGTGCCTGGCCTCTTCCATCCCTCCCAGCTTGGACGATGCAGGGCTCAGTGCTCAAAGACATTCTGAAAATGTCCCTCCTTGTCCCTCACCCCGGTCCTTTTCTCTTGCCTTCTGCCCCTCAGCAGGCTCCAGCTACAGAAGCCCTCAGGGTTGGCCACTGCTGCTGACCTCCGTCCAAAACACTCCGCGAGCCGGGGTCCCGGCCCAGTTCGCGCCCAAGTCTCCAAGCCTGCAGCGCCCCGCAGTCCCGGCCTCCCCGCCTCCACCTCGCGCCACCCCAGCGGGTCCCCGCGGAGCCAGTCCCTGCCCCGCAAAGAGAGCTCCGCTCCGTCGCATCAAGCCCGGCCCAGCGCCCCTCCCTCTCGGGGGGTTCTCCAGGCCAGATCTCAGCCCGAGGCCTCCCCAGGGGCCCCCAAGAAAGGACCCAGAGGGAAACAACTGCAGACTCAGCGCGCAGCAACCAAAGGCCGGGCGGCAGGCTCGGAGGGTCGGCCCGGGAACAGATAATGACACCGGCCTGCGGCTCTCTGCGGCGCCCCCTACCCTCACCCCGGTCCCCACCCGCAGCTGGCCACACTGGAGCAGCTTCCAGCACAGCCTTACGCGCCCGCGCGCCACCGCGGCCCCAGCTTCCCGCCTGCACTCGCCAGGACGCACGTGAGCAGCCCAGCCAGCCCACTGACCCCGGAGGGTGCGTGTCTCGGTTCGTCTCTCTGCGTCCTCCCTCCCTCCTACCGCCCCACTGCAGGGACAGGCTCACAGCAGATCCTCTGCCCCGGGAAGGCTCAGCACTTATCGCCTGAAGACTCAGCTTTTAGGGCCTGTCCCCTTCTCCTACCAGGTCTTGGCTGATCTCTATGCCCCCCACCCAAGGGGCTTACATCTGCTTACACCTCTTGCGGCCCACCTTGTCCTCATCCCCGTCTTCTTCAGCCTCCAACCCTACCCAACAGGAGCAACAGCCTCAAATTCCAGAAGTGTGCGGTCTCTAGACCGCCCACGGTCCCTTGGAGCCATGGTGGCCACGAAAGGCCAAGCTGGGATTGGGAATGTGGAAGTCAGAGGTCGTTGGCTTATTTAGGTTTAAGGGGACACCTCTAGTCGGGCTAAAGTCAGCTCTATGAGAGGCACAGGTCGTAAGAGGGGTTGCTGCCTGGGTCTCTCGACCTTTGCTGAATAGGAATGAAGGGGACCTCTGGAAGTTTGCCTCCCTGTGAGTGTTTCCCAGTGGGAGTTTGGAACTGGGCTTTGCGGTTACATGCTCTCGGGTCCTCTGGTTCTCAGGACCCCTTGCCATCAGGAATTCCTTCCTCTGTCTAACCTCAGCTTCACTCAGCTCTCCTCTCAGAATCCCACGCGGGTGGGGTGGCTGCTTATCGCCTCCTGTGTGTTGGTCATCTGAAGATTCAGGGACTCAGTCTGGTCACCCTGCCATCTCTGCTGTGGGCGGTGGGCTGGCTCAGGCGTCCTCCCCCTACTCAGCAGAGGAAGCAGGATGAGGCAGACTGGCTCCCGGAGGCAGAAGACCCTTCTCACTTTAGACTGTGTGTGATGCTAACTGGTGCCCACCCCCACCACACCCCAGTTCACCCTGGGCCCCTCTTGCTCTGAGCCAGCCCACACAGCTGAGCTGCTGAGCCTGACATGGGGCCTCCTCCTGCATGTTGGCTTCTGCACAGCTCGCCCGCCCACCGCATCAGGAGCCTGCTAACATCTGGGGCAAGCAGCACCCTGACTGCAGAAGGGACAGGCAGCCCCTCCTGTCTGGGACAGGGACTGCCTCCAGGCCTCCTGTAAAGCACCCACAGCCTCTATCCCCTGTTCTGGTCCTCCTGTCCTTCCCTGAGCCACAGAGAGCAAACCAAGACATTCAGGAGAAAGAGAGGCCTCAGAGGACCAGCGGTCTGGCCACATCTACACCCAAGATGACCGACTGGGAGCTGCTTGATGCCGGCTGAACTCCTCATGGAGTTCTGAGGGTCTGGGCAGTTGCTTCTGTGCCAAGAAGGCTGTTCTGCAGACCAGTTTGGGGAGGACACCAGGGTGGATAGTCTTTGCGGTCTATCCCACACTGATGTAGAAGCTCCCAGAACACTCAGGAAACCTCTCTGGATTCAGTTATCTTTGTCACCCCGAGGCCCCCTCCAGTCGCCCTCTAGCCCAGCAGCGGAGTAGAGGGTTCACTTCCTCCTACCCAGGGCTTTTATGAATGACAATCAGCTCATGCCAGGTGGGGACCAGGGCATGACCCTTGGTGCCCAGGTCCTGGGCCTGCTCCTTGCCACCAACCGAACCGTGAATGTAGGGCTCCCCACAGTCTCACTTCTGCTGGAGGGCCAACAACACCCTGGCTTGGAAATGGGAGGAAAGGGAGGCCTGAGAAAGCCCCAGGCTCACCCCAGTGGGATTCCAGACCCCCACAGGGCTCCACCCAACCTCAGGCCTCCAGTCTACCCTTGGGATTCCAGACCCTTACAGGGCTCCACCCAACCTCAGGCCTCTGAGTCAATAGTATCATCAGATGAGGAGGAAGGAGGGACAGAGGACCAGCAGAGGTGGGTGGTGAGGGGACTAAGTGCTTCTCCCAGGAAGGAACCAGGGCAGAGGAAGCCAATGTCCCGCCCCCAGCTGAAGCCTGTTCTTTGAGAATCATCCACCCTGCAGTAGGCCCTTCAGGCTCCTACCCCTCCTCTCTGATAGTGTCAAGCGACCACCACCATCCCTTATGTCCCCATCCTGACTGCTTAAGTCACTGGCTCAGATGTGGGGTGTATTCACCTTAATGCGCCTTCCCTCCCCAGCCGTACCATGTGCAGAGGGGTCCAGGAGAAGGGCCCTGCCCCAGGCACATGGCTCTCTGGCTTTCCAGCTCCTCCTGAGGGGCCTGGCTTGCTCAGTCTCCTGAGCCCCTTGAGCATATGTTGGGGCACAGGGAGTTGCCCTCCCCCTCCCTGGGAAGCAACAGAAGAATGTTTACATGCCAAACAGAATGTACCAGTCCTTGGCCACCCCTCCCAGTCATTGCATGGCCTCTGCCCACCCTGTGCCCGCCCACTCCCCTGACATCAACGCCTTGGAAGTCGCTGTCATAACTAGGTGGGGGTCTCGAAAGGGAAGTAGCCATTACACCATTAAAAAGCCTGTGGACCTTTTTGTTGGTCTGGACTCTTTTTCCCTTTAGGGAGGGCAGGGCAAAGCCCAGCCCCTGAGGGCGGGGGTGGGCAGGAGAGAAACTGTCGGATGGTTCCAAGTGGGCAGTGATGTCATCTCCACAGAGAAGGAAACGGAAGTGTAGGTCTGGTATAGATAACGTGTTCAGGGTCTCACAGAAGGAAGAGCTATCCTGGCAAAGCTTGCACTCGGCTCCTTGGCTGACTTTGCTGAAGGCTGTAGACTCCATTTGGGCTGGCACAGAGAGAAGAGAGAAGCAAAGCTATCGTTGCCCTAGAAGAAGCAGATAGGAGTGAGCTTCTGGAGAGGCAGAAGGCGTAGCGGCTCACAGGCAACAAACGCCATAGCGAAACCCGCCCTGACCAATGCCTGTGACTCGGCCTCTGCCTGTCTGCAAGTTTATCCTACAGGTACACTCGCAAAACGACACACGTCCAAAGTCACCCACCGTGTCTGCAGAGCCTTGTCTACGCATCTGAAACCCAAGCAGAGAAAACAGTGGGAGCTTGCCTTGGGCGGTACCTGCTCGCTTGGCATCAATGCCCAGTGGAGAAGCCAGGCTCGGTGGCCTTCGCCTTGGGTGTCAAGGCCCAACAGAGAATCCAGGCATGGTGACCTCAGGCCTGTAATCCTAGTAGCCACAGGACCTAAAAGCAGGGGGATTTTTTGAAAGTTCAAGGTCAGCCTTGACCACACAGTAAGTTCCAGGCCAGCCTAGGCTAAATGCAAGACTGTCTCAAAAAAGAAAAAAGAAACCAAAAGCCATGGCAAGCTGTTTATATTTATTAATTTCACTTATACATGTTTTCAGTGAAAAAAAAATTGAGACAAAGTCTTGCCAGGTAGCCCAGGCTGCCCTCAATGTGCCATCCTCCTGCTTCAACCTCCCAAGTGCTGGGACCCCAGGTGAGTACCACTATGCTTAGTTAGGTGGTGTTATTAATGTCTTTGATTATGAGACACTGCTCTTGACCCTATTTATAATATATGGACTATGCATGGAACTGCTTTTCTTCCTTTAAAAAAAAGTATTTCATCTATCTTTCTTCTGTGATGGCAATGGTTTTGGTAAGAGATTGTGGACCAGAAAAAGAAATGATTCGAGCGATCTTAATGGCCGTTGGTTGGGACTGTGGTACATGTGACAGGGACTCCACTGTGGGGTGTCAAGGGATTCAAACTGAAGGAAGCAGCTCATGTTCTTACGGGCCAGTCCCACAGCTCAGAAATGTGTGAGGCCATGAGGCTCTTGGAACAGCAAGGCAGTTGGACGCCCGACAGGAGGTGGGCTGGATGAGGGAGGTTTACATGGGGAGAGACAGGAAGTACCCTTTGTATTCTGAATCCTAAGTTCACCATAAGTGAGTCTTTTTGCTTAGTGTACAAAAAACGGTTTCTCGCCAGGCCTGGCTCTGGGCCACACGGCTGGGAAGTGAGACCATCCAGGTTAGAAAGCCTACTCTCCCTGGGGTGCTGCTCTTGGCTATCCAGAACCTCAGCCTCCTGGGACCCCTTTCCTCTAACTTGAATGCCAGTGGACTCTGGGGCCTTTGGCAGGGCCCGATGTACTTTCTCTTTCCTTCTTGTTTAACATGTCCGGAGCAGGACATACTCGTAGTAAATGCTAAAAGCATATCAAATACAGACAACCCTGTGCATGACCCTGACCAGCCAGAGCCCTGTGAGCAGTTTGGTGTGGACCGTCACGGACCTTTTTTTATGTTTGTAACAATACCTTTCTCTTTCTGTCCATATATATTTCTTATAAATAAAAGAGGAGCATATTATATCTGCTGTCCAGAAACATGGCTTTCTCTCCAGCAGTGTGCACTGAAGCACACTTCCTCCCCGACCTGCGACCCCGGGAGCGAATTCAGAGTCTTATGCAGGCTAGGCACGTGCTCTCCTGCTGAGCATTCTCCAGCTTCACTCCATTTCAAAGCTGTTAATTTATAAAACAGGCCAGAGAGCGGTGGCACACGCCTTTAATCCCAGCACTGAGGAGGGAGAGACAGGCAGATCTCTGTGAGTTTGAGGCCAGCTTGGTCTACAGAGCGAGTTCCAGAACAGGCTCCAAAGCTACACAGAGAAACCCTGTCTCAAAAAAATCAAAAATAAATAAATAAAATAAAGAGAAACTAAAACAAAAGCATGTAAATATACATATTTGTACATATTAAAATATGTAATATATAAATGTGTGTGTGCACATGTGTGCCAAAGTGTGCATGTACAACCTACAGGGATCAGCTCTCTCCTACCACGTGGGTCCCCAGAATTTAAACTCAGGTGGTCATTGCAGCAAGTACCTTTACCATCTGAGCCATCTTTCCCACCCTCCTCCATCTTTCGAAAGTTATTTTGGGCTGAGCAGTGGTGGTGCACATCTTTAATTCCAGCACTTGGGAGGCAGAGGCAGGCAGATCTCTGAGTTCAAGGCCAGCCTGGTCTACACAGCAAGTTCCAGGACAGGCTCCAAAGCTACACAGAGAAACCGTCTCTGAAAAAAAAAAAAAAGTATTTTGTTGTTATATAACTTACATATAGCTTTCCAACTTAAGACACACTACACAGCGTTTACCACCAGTCTACTTTCTGTTTATAGATGGGGGGGGCTTGGGATGCAGCTCATTTTGGTAGAGTGCTTGTCCATGACACACAGACATTGGGTTTGAATCCTGGCACTGCGTACACTGGGTGTGTTGACCTACACTCAGAGGGCAGAGGCAGGAGGATTAGAATTTCAAGGTCATCTTCAGACTGTTAGTCAGTTCCAGGCCAGTCTGGGCACAGGAAACTTTTATCTCGAAACAGTAACAACAACAAAACTCCAACTGCTGATTTTAGACATTTTATAGACATAAAATCTATAGGATCGTCTTGAGATCTTTCAGTTAGCATAGTTTGTCTTTATAATTAATAAATAATGTCCTACACAACGCAATTTACTTTTCCACTCATAAATTGATGAACTCTTTA